ATGGTTGACTAACCCTGTCTGATAGTTGACTCATGGCATTTCTACCATTAGATGCATTTCACATGTGTTTTTCATGCATGCTGGTAACTTAAGACACACATGTCCATTACTTAGCCAGGCGTGTCCATACTCTGGCACATGTTTGAAATGCTGGACACTGCAATTTGGATACACATTTTTTTAGTTCAGTTTAGAGTTTATTACATGTATAATTTATATGTACATATATGGATATGTATGCATGTGTATGGACTTGTGCAGCATCGATCAAGAGCAAAACCAGTTAGGAGGGGCGATTTGGTCTAAGTGGAAGGCTCTAAAAGGGCAAGAAAAAAGCCCATAAGGAAACTGCTTAGTGAGAAGGGATATGACTACTTACATTCTTATTGAGAGTAATGACCTTTATAGAGCAGAGTGGCAGAATATGATTCATGTAGCCGACCCGAAACAATTGGGAAGAGGCTTAGATGATGATAATGCATGTATATATGCTTGTATGGGTGTGATGTGTTGGTGCTGCACTTTATGAGGAGCTCATTGGACAGTGTGTCCATGTCTGAAGTGGACACATGTGTCTGTTTTTGCCTCAGATATATATTATCCCTTGCTCTCTCTCACTCACTTTGGGTACCACTAACACCTCTCTCTCTCTCTCTCTCTCTCTCTCTCTCTCTCTCTCTCCTCACTGAAGTTCTCCATTGCAGGTACTCACTATCATTCAACGGCCAAATCTTAAACCACATTGCAAACCATGATGAAGAACCTGGCAGCTACTATTCAAAACTCCTACAAGAATATGATAGTGTTATCGTCTCAGAATCCACCCTCACCAACAACCCATTTTTTCTCTCACTAGAACCCGGAGCTAAACAGCCCCTCAGAATCATACTTGCAAAAACTCTAAATTTTAATCACAATCTCAGCATTTTCAATACCGAAGCTGCTTCAACTCTTATTCTTGCAAACAAAAGCCTACAGAGGGAGACAAAAACGGAGTCTTTTTTGAGCCACAAGGGAGTAGAAATTGTGGTTTTGGATCGAATTGATGCAAAATCGATACTAGAATTATGTTCAAAACGTGGGTTTTGCAGTGTTTTGATGGACTTGAGAGGTGGTAAGCTTTGCTTGGATCATGAGATATTGAGAGAGAGTTTAAAGGAAAGTTTGTTGCAAAAAGTGGTAGTTGAAGTTTGTGGAGTGATAGGAGGGGCTGAACGAGATCATCTTGTGGGCATAGAGAGAGAGCTTAGATTGGAAAGATTGCAGAGTTGGGCATCAAAGGACAGCATTGTGATGGAGGGATATGTTTTGTAGAGGGTGGTGACCTCGCTCTCTTGTTTGTTGTTTTGCTGTTCAGCACTCTCTTTCCATTCTTTATGTTCTTTCATTGATAGTAACATCAGTAATATCACAAATGTATGATCAAACAGAGCTGTACAGCACATAAAACATGCCAATGAAGATTGATATTTCTTTCTCCCACCCTCTCTGTGTGAATTCTTGACCTACCCATTTCTCAAAGTTGCATTGACTTTGTGGCTTATTTCTTGTCACTTATTTGAGCACTGTTCAGTGAAAGGAGTGGCCTGGTTTCTTGTCAGTAATGAGAGGTCCATTGAAGCTGCTCAAGTGACTGTACAATGAGTCAATGGATGCCTTTGGCTGTGAATTGGGAGAAGGTGGAATTCTAGCATTTGGAAACCTATTCATGGTGCTCAATTGTATGTAGTGCATGCCTGCAACTACTCCGGGACGATTAATTTTTGAGGGAGATAGATCACTTATGTTGGGAAAAAGCTTTGATGATGATGAGATCATATGCTTTGTAATTAATAAGTGATTATTTTATGTAATAGTTATGTTTCATGTTTCAAAATTACAACTCTCCAGAGCAAAGTGGAACAATTTGCTGTTCAGCAAGGTTATTTCTTACTTGTTCGCGAACAGAAAATTTACAAACAGTAGAAGCCTAAAAAGAAAATTATCAAAAAACTCTTTACCTCTCTGTTTTTTTTAGCTAAAGCTTTAGAAAAAGACCAATTAAATTCAATCCATTAAAATTAAAGGAAAAAAACTATATGATCTCGCTGTAGCTTATCGTCCATTTAGTCCGTGTGGTAAAATCCATCTGGCACTTATTTTTGGATTTTGGGATTGTAACTTCCTCAACCTACCAGCCGACCTTAAAAACTAATAAATACAAAATCATACACACAACATTTACCAAAACAAAACTTCAAAACATAATAAATAAAAAATCATACACACACATTTGCCAAAACAAAAAAGATCCTGAGACTGTCCAATTTTTTAATGATCAAAGTAGTTAGGAACTGAAAATTGGTTTCTTCTTTATTCTTTTTTTTTTTTTTGGAAATACTGGTGATTTTAAAGTGGGTCACAAACTTTTCAAGCAAACAGGTTCTTCTAAGCATGTGAACTTGGATAAAGTAGTCAAAGAAGATTGGTGGTTTAATTAGGACAAATCCACTTGAAAATGCTTGGAAACTGGTATTCACATAAACTTGTACTAAATGAGCCACTTAACTTAAAAAATAGAAAAGAAAAAATTCTCTATGAGAAGCTTCCAATGATAAATAAATAAATAAAGGGTGTTGTTTACATAAAGCTGTAAACCTTAGACACTCAAATTAAGGTGCACCTCTAAATTTTCCTATATGTAATTTTGGTGTAAAAAATTATTAAGATGGCTTGAAAATCTATTTTCATTTTTAACTATAAAATTTTAAACTCTAAAAATGATTCAAATAAAGTAGATCTATAAACAAATAAAAATCTTGAATAGACAATCTACGATAATATATTACAAGATACACTATTTCCAAGAATTGAATTTTTTTTCTCTTCATAATCATATGATCTCAATCGAGATGATCAATTATAGGGCTTTCCAATATAACTTTTTATAATGGATTTTCAAAACCTAACCTTTTATGATGGATTTACTAGTATTCTAAAATATAACTCAACCAAGGTACATACTTTATGATAGATTTAGTAGTAAATTAAAACATGACTCAACCAAGGTACGTAACTTGGGCAAAGCAAGTTCTTCGAGCAAGTCCGAGTAACACATCCGAGTTCAACCCTATTTAATATAATCCACCTCCATTTAACAGTAATTGTTAGCTGGCGTAGTCTGGGCGCCTCTTTCACAAAGTATTGATGGCAATATTAAATCAAGGGGATTCGAATCTATGCTGTGACTTGCAATGTGTGTGAGCACTATCCAAAAAAACATATTGTAGAACTTTTGGCATAAAATAGACAGTAAGTCATATAAGAACCCAATTTATGTGCAACCAAGCCCCTATATGTAAAAATGCAAAACTCTTAATAAATCTATTTTTGAGAGGGATTTTAAAACTTAATTTTTAAGGATATGGAATTTGGAGATCATGTATATGAAAAAATAAATAAATTTTAAATACTTAAAATAATAACTCTAACAAAAAAACTATTTGGACCATTGGTTTCCATTGTTTCTAGATGGAACACCAACTTGCATCTATATTTAATATAGATGCTTTACACTTTCTGGACCTTTACACTTTCTGGACCGTGTTCAACCCACATAAAACAATTTTCCTTCATATAAACTTTATAAATTAGGTGTAATTAGTTCGGCCCAAACTCACAGGGCAAGGTCAAATTACTCAGTACCCCCACAAATTACTCAATCGAGTATCGTAACCTTATATAAACTTTTCCTTGTATAAATTCTACATATTATAAGCCATATGAGAGTTATTATTGCATCATTTACCCTAACATATTGCACAAACCAAAACATAGTGACTGCAATACAATTGGCAATTGAAAACGTCAGAGCGATACAACCAAATTCCGGGAAAACCCCCTTGAATATTAACCCAATTCATAGCAATTGCTGAATAAAATATATTTTACGTTGGTTGCTCCATTTTCCTAACCCTTAACAAAGTAAGGTAGTGTGGTCATTTCAAGCTGCCAAAGACAAATAAATGTTACAAGCCAGAAAAACTCTCTCGTATTCACCACCGATTCAAGCCAAAAACAAAAAACCCGCAAGTTTTCAAGAACACGAATAGAGAGCGCACCATTCACAGTAATCCAAAACACTAAATCCATTTAAAAGCAATACATCAAGGGAACTACCAAAGATCCAATCACAAAACCCTAAATCATAGGAGAGATCCTAAATCAGAGGAAAAACCCTAGCTCGATTCAGAGATCAAGCCCTCTCACCTCTGATCCTACGAGCCAGCTGAATATCCTTGGGCATTATGGTGACCCTCTTTGCATGAATAGCGCAGAGATTGGTGTCCTCAAAGAGGCCAACCAAATAAGCCTCAGCAGCCTCTTGCAAAGCAGCAACCGCACTGCTCTGAAACCTCAGATCAGTCTTGAAATCCTGAGCAATTTCACGAACCAGCCTCTGGAAAGGGAGCTTCCTGATCAAAAGCTCAGTGCTCTTCTGGTACTTCCTAATTTCTCTGAGAGCAACGGTTCCAGGCCTGAACCTGTGAGGTTTCTTCACACCACCAGTGGCCGGAGCTGATTTGCGGGCAGCTTTGGTGGCGAGCTGCTTTCGAGGAGCCTTTCCACCTGTTGATTTCCGAGCTGTTTGCTTGGTGCGAGCCATGGATATAGATCAAAGGATAGGGCAGAAACCAGAGAGAGAAAGAGAGTAACAGGGCAACGAGAGTAGCAGGAGTTAGAAACCAGAGATATAAACAACAATAGAAATTAGGGTTAGGGCAAAACGGAACCAGGACAAAGAGGAGTGAGAATTAAGGGTTGGAAGCAGAGACAGAGCGAAATGTAAGTATGAATTTAGGGTTTCGAATGTGTGGTATTTGTAGAGCGATGGCGGGTTCTTGTTCTTTTGAAATGGGTTTAAACTTCGCGGGAGTAGATCTGGACCGTTGGTTTTTAGGGCACATTAACGGCTGCTAATGCGGGGATCGCGAGCACACGGATCGGGAACTGCGTTGAGGATCTTATTTTTATGATCATTTCATTCCCATGCTCTGTTGATTACTATAGATTTGCTAATCTGTAGTGTTCGTCTTCTATCTTGTAGATAATTATTTTGAAAGCAATTTACTTGCTAGTTTATCTCGATTTCAGGCTTTTTAAATCCAAAGTTAATATTTTATTCTGATTTTCCTTCAAATATCAAAAGTTCTACATAAAACGATGACATTTTGTTTCAGCTATCCCTTATTTCATTGCTATTTAGCTCTTACTCATTAGTGCATCGACTTTCAAGGTCTTAAGTATTTTATTGACTTCAGCCCTTCGATATCTAAAATCAATAATTTTGTTATCATTCAAATTCTGAAATGCGGGACTATTGGAAAATATATATATATATTATTATAATCAAGTACAAAATATATAATTTTTTAATAATAATGGATATAAAGGGGCCGAGCATAAGTTTCTCTTGTTTTTAAATTTTGCATGTGGTAAATTTTGAGATTATGAGTTTTATTAATTGAGCATGTTACTGGTTAAGCGAACAATGCACATCTCTCAACCGATATTCCTTTAAAACTTCCTACTTTAAATTTATTAGTCAAATAACACCTCATATTTAAAAACAAAAAATATAATATTGCTTATCGTTACTTAAACATTAAGAAAGTATGCAATTTGAAAATTTATCTCCGTCATGTCTCTAGGATATTTTTGAGACTATTAACTTATTGGTGCGGTTTGTATAGAACCGAGGCTCTAAACAATCACAGTAAAATGTACCTTCAAATAGTATCGAGAAATGTTGTTTTAATATTGAAAATTTTTGTGATAGTCTTAAAATATACTCTCATCTTTAATTATAAAATTTAAAGCTTCATAAATTGTGGAGATCGAGCAGATATATGAAAACTTGAAAATCTTGAAAATTGACGGTCCAAGATACATTACAAGATGCACCATTTAAAATCTATTTTTTTCTCATGTCCATGCATCTTGAGGTCGAGATGATCACCTTGAAGATATTTGGGCATCAAAACAACCCCTTCTAGTGAAAATTTTGTAGTGCCTCCTAATTTGATTGTTTAAAGCCTTGCATTTATATAAACCTTTTTCCTAACTTAAATTCACCAATCATTAAATAAATAAATTTATTTCCTCACTTTCTATTGGAAAATTGTTAAATGATAAAAACTCCTAATAACTAACTCCTGCACGTAAGAAAATCTTAAGGAAATGTTATTGTATAAGAGCTTCCAGCTATGTTAGGAGTGACAAACGCATTCAAAGCAATCTTATTTAGTGCGTCTATAATTTGTGAGGGCAGTTCCCTCCTCTTCAAAGAAAGTGAAGAGAGTTTTTTTTTTTTGGTTATTCAGTGGCGAAAATTGGCCCTTGCCTGTTTTTTCAAGTAATTTAGAAGTTAAACTTTTTGAAGGTATTAGTGAGGTGGTGTTAGTAGTCGGAATAGAAACAACATTGTGGTAAAAGGGTGTATAGGTGCTACCACCACGACCCCAACTGCTTTCCAAGGAAAAGAGCTAAAGAGTGTTATCAAAACAATGAAATTCATGAGGATCATGGTGCAAAGCTATATAATGTCGATCCATATGTCACTCCTTTGGGACCACTTTGTCACCTAGTTGGATGTCATCTGTTGCCAGTTTCTCACCTAGTTGGATGTCTTGTCTTGCTTGTCTTTGGACATTTGGGGCTGAGGGGTACAACCTCATTGATTCCTTCATTATCCAACCCATATGTAACAAAATAAAATAAATATAAAAGAACTAATATTGTAATTTGACATGCGTTTTTAGTTGTAGGTATGGAAATAGTAAGTAAAAAATATAAAGTGTGAGTATGGGAACATACTGTATATCTACTCCATTATGCTAAAACCTACTTAGCCAGACTGTTTTTGGATCAAAATTTTAGAATCCACTTCGTAATGTCCAAACAAGTATTTAAAAAGCCAAGAAAAAGAAAAAAGAAAAATAAAAAGATAACTGAATGTTGAGTTCTAAAATATTAGGTTTTACTATAAGGTATTTTAAGTTGCCTTTTCCTTCTTATTCTTTGTTTCTTTAATTTCCTATTTTTTTCCTGTTCTTAATTTTTTTAAAGATTTTTTATGATCTTATTTTCTAGTTATTGTTGATTCTCCCTAGTTCTTAACAATTAATATTCTAATGATAATTTATTTTTAATTATCAATTCTCATACATTGGAGAGAAGCGGCATAAACACAAAGAATATTGAAGGGACGCTCTGCAATCTAAAAGTTTTAAAAGTAGCCACTAAAACAAAATATATAAAATGCAAGTTTAGTAATAATAGGAGTAAAAATGATGAAGTAGTTAAGATTAATGGTCAAGAAATACCTAAAAGAGATTGTTTATGATATCTACGGTCGATAACCCATGATAAAAGAGAGATTGAGGAAGCTGTTACATATAGAATTAGAGATGAGTTGGGAAGCATCCAGAGTTTTATGTGATCATCACATACCATTGAAACTGAAGGGAAACTTTTATAGGATGGTTATAAGACTAGTCATGCTTTTTATGGGATACAATGTTAGGCAGCCAAAAAACAATACATAAGATGTGCATAGCTGAGATGAGATTGTTGAGATGGATGAGTGGCAACATAAGAAAGAATATGATCCATAATGAATCCTTTGAGACTTTCCTTATGTGATCAATCCTCCATTTCTATCCTCTTTAGAGATTTGACCATCTCTTCTCACATATGAAGCTCGATTTGTATCTTCATATGTAGTTGAAAATAATCCTCGAGCTTTAGGAGCCCATCATCAGGGCACATAGGTGGATATGGTCGAAGACGTGAACGTTATGGAGGACGAGGAGGTAGAGGTCTCAACCAAAATCAACAAGGCATTCTTGGAGCCACCCACTTACCATCAACCTCCTCAGCCAAGAATGTGTATGTCACCTTGTACAACCTGCCAGTATTGTTAGCGACATGGACACATTGCTAAAAACTGTTGTGACATAAAAAAAATGCTTCATCGTCTCACGATGCGCTAATGCATGATTTCAACGACCTATCAGCCACTGCCCCAACTGATTATTCTTCGGTTATGGACTCTGGTGCAACTACTCGTATGACAGGTGACAACTCTCAACTTTGAAGTATGATTTCGTATCATGGTTCTTGCATGGTATTAACTGGAGATGGTATTACCATGCCTGCATCCATTATTGGAACTGTGACTATTTCCACTACCTATGGTTCTTTAAATATCTCCAATTTGTTTTACTTGTTCCCAAACAAGAGAAACTTCACATATTTGTATCTCAATTTGTAAGATTTTAAGTGTTGTTTTAGGTTTACTCTTCATGGTTGTGTTGTAAATGATCTACAAAGTGGAAAGTTGATCGCTAAGGGGGTGCTAAGAGAAAGCTTGTATGTGCTTCATAATAATCAACTCTATTGTCTTGCTATGATTATCTCCAAACCTAGAGGAGGAGCTTCTATTTTGTGGCATGTGCACCTAGGTCATCCTAGTTTCACTACTGTCAGTCATCTCGAAAGAGAGCCAGCTCTACCTAATTGTGTTCATGACCTATCTTCTGGATTATTGTGTTCATCTTGTAAGTTAAGAAAACACCCTGAGTCTACACTTGACTCAACTAATAGAAAGTCTAATGCACATCTTGATCTAATGCACAATGATGTTTGGGGTCTAGTCTCAGATACTTCCTTATTAGGTTTTGGATTTTATGTTACTTTTGTGGATGATTATACTCAATATACTTAGATATATTTTCTTGAAGCAAAAATCTGTTATATTTAATTATTTTGATAAATTGTGTACCTAAGTTGAGTGTTAACTTGCTTGCAAACTCAAGGCCTTTAGGTCTTGTGGTAGAGGTGAAATTCACCTCTCATGTTTTTGAAGAACATTTGAGTCATCATGGAATTCATGATGTATGCAAGCGGCCTACCACAATTCATTTGGTCAGAAGCCCTTTTCACTGTTGTTTATCTCATTCTAAGCTTAACATTATCTTTCATATCTCCTTTTCAAAAGCTTTTTTATAGTAAACCAGATTACTCATTTCTTTGTATCTTTGGTATGTTTCCCACATATTTATTCTTTTCAAAGAAATAAAAGTTCTCATAAGGCTTATGAGTGTGGGTTCGTTGGATACAACTAGAAACATCAAAGTTATCGATGTTATGACAAAGTGTCGAGTCCCTTTTTTCTTACAGGACATGTAACATTTGATGGAACTAAGTTCAACTTTAAGAACCAGTGTTCCCAAACTAATACAAGTAATGTTATGCTAAATAATTTGTTTGTACCTATTTCAATGCCTTTTCAATTGCAAGAAAAAAATACACTAGGACGCACTTATCTCTTAAGAGGTTACAAATGAACTATCTGAGTAGCATCACCCTCATCAGCCATCTCTTCACTTTGACAGGTCCGATCTACAACATCTTTCCTCGACATACTTTTTACCACCACCTTCTCTCTCTCTTACTTCAAACTTTGATGCATCTCCCACAGTGCAACATGATTTATCTGAAAGATCCTTAGAAATTTCACTAATACCCCTATGCCGTTCATCTCACTCAACATATCCTCTTAAACATCTGTTAGACTATCAAGTTTACTCTGCAACCATTCCCTCTCCTGACATCACTTCTAAGACCATAAGGATAAAATACCCTATTGAAATTTTTAACTTAGGAGAGAGAATGTCTTCTAATCATAAAGCATTTGGAACATCAATTTCTCAAATTCAAGAACCAACCACTTATGAAGAATTTGCCTCTGACACTGGGTGGCTGGGCTTAATGAAAGAAGAGATTGATGCACTAAAAACACACTTGGGAATAAGTGTCATTGCCTCCAGGTA